CTGTACCAAAACTGCCAGCTACGAGATATCTCGTAATGGGTGCTGCAAGTTTAGATTGGCTACAAATGGCTATTTGAGTTAGGAACTATTAGAAAAAGGATGAATGAAAAATGTATATAGTATAGAGAACATATTGATTATCAATTAAAAAAATACTGTAAATGCCATTGCAATATTATATCGGTAACTTAATATTATTATATTTTGTAAAACTTCATGTTTTCTTTAAAATAAAACCGTGGCACCCAGGGCAAGACGCGCTAAATTTGCGTGACAGTCAATGGGTTAACAGATAATTGTCGAATGATTTTATGGGAATTATCTTTCTTCTGACGCCGAGATGTTTCTGGTTTAGGCGTCGAAAACAGAAAGGTCCAAGTCTTCTCCGACGTACAAGGACTTGGATTTCATGGAGCATCATTCTGACGGGATCTTCTTGGAGGCGGACACCTACAGCGCTTTGGTGAAAACGATCCAGAGAGACTGCAGGGTGTTGGAGAGCTTCAAGATTATGGACTACTCGCTGCTCGTTGGCATCCATAATCTCGATCAGGCTGCCAGGGAGAAAGCGGTAAGTGCGATTCCGAAGGTGCAATCATTTGCGTTACAGCATAGCAGTATTAAATAACAGAGATAGTTCCCGCGAATTTAAAGCGTGAACTGCGCGAGGCAGCTGTGCCTTTCCGAAGGCTTTATAATTTAACAAATTACTGCTAGATTAACGGACCAGACCTGGGCAGATTTCATTTGAAACGAAGATAAGGAATAACTATTTGAAATAATCCATATCGAAGAGGAAAAAGAAAATTCTTATTCTCCGGAAGAATGTTTCTTCTTAAAGAGTGATCATTTATCATTGTGAGATCAGTCCTTTTATCTTGCAGGAATGTCGATGAGTGTGTCAGTATAAATCAGACTCAAAGCTGATAATTACTTCACTGTGCAATCTCCGAGAAGAATGACATTCTTCAAGCATTATCTCGAATAATCATTTCAAGTAATTCTAAAGTAAAATGACGTGTTACTTTAAATAGTATTTCCAACATTGTTACGCGTTATTTGAACTAATATTTCAAGTAATGTCTCTTTAAACATGCCCAGGTCTGCCTAGTCTTTTTTTAACAAACAATTAATTTTGCTGAAAGACATTAGATTGTTTTCTCAAGATAATGGCAAAAATATATCCGAATATTGGGTTGGGGAATAAGTTCGTAGCGTTTTTATCAAGCAATTCGAAGGCGATTTTCTTTGTTGTTTTCGTTAAGCTCGTGAGGCACCCAGGCTCCCAATTTTTCGGCAAATCCCATTGAATGAAGATAATTGAGAATCGTCAAAATCGCAATTTTTGAACTTCGCAAACCATTTCCGTGATGTAGACTCGCCTATGACACCTTCTCCGTATACGTTGCAAATGTCCCGGGCTGCTTCAGCAGCTTTTTGGCCTCGATGAAAAGCGAAGAAGAGAAGGTGTCGAAAACGTTGCTTCTTACCTCCTGGATATTCCATTTCTAAGCCTCAAAAATAATAACTTAAATTACTCAAAAAGACGATTAGCACAGTTTCGTAGAGCAGAAAGAGCTCTATCGAATGAATATTATACACTTTGTCGAACAGCAAAAAATTGTTGTAAAATAAAAGAAAATATTAAAAACGCTACGAACTTATTCCCCAACCTAATATATTCTGTAGAACCTCTCTCGAATATCCAAACACCCTTTATGCTTTTGAATATTCGCCAAGTTTCTTGATGGAAGTTGTTATTTTCGTGCGAAAATCGCGAAACCGAGTGTCCAGGCTTCGCCAAGCGACCAAAATGCAATTGTTTGGTTTCAGCAGGAACAAAGGTTATCGGCCAGCGCGGACGAAGAGGTCGGGGACGTGGCAGGGGACGCGGGAGGATTCGCTCAAGCAGAAAGAGAGCGTGAAAGAGAGGACAGAATAGGAGCCGGGGCCCTGAACCGATCGCGAAGCATAAACCGACAAAGGCTGGTCGCGCATAGTACCGCTATGGAGAGCATCCAGGCCGAAAGCGAGCCAATCGACGAGGAGGACGATGTACCGTGAGTATCGTGAGGGCCGATCCTCTTACGATTGTATACACCACGGATCCTCTAATAACGTGATTTTAATTGCGTTCGTGTTCCTAGCAGTCCAGGTGGGATCCCTGCTCGCAATGCTCGCGGCGAACGCCTCTTACTCTTCCTTGGTATCATTGATATTTTGCAAAGTTACAGGCTTAAGAAAAAGCTCGAGCACACCTGGAAATCCATGATACACGACGGTGTAAGTACTATCGATTTTACCTTTATCGATTCCGTTCACATTCCGTTCGTTAACTTCAAAATTAATCGCTGGTCTCAGCAACCGATGGCCATTTATAGCTAACATGGTTGGTCCCTTGTTCCACGTTAGACGATTGCAGGGTGGGCCACACGGGTTGTGCCATCATTTTGACAATAAAGAACATTTTCTCTGTTGCCTGAAAGAAGGGGCCCGTCGTTGGCCGTTTTATGTTAACTGCTCGATGACCGGCAATGACCTATGAATTATCATAGATTTAGAAATAAAATACAAAATAGAATTTTCTTGTCGTCCCGAGCCTCTTCTTTTTACGACGGTAGTATTCGATGCATAAAAGGGGGAAATAAAAATAGTGAACGGAGGAAGATGTTCTTAATCGTCCGAATGGCACGCGGTGCCCGCCTTGAATGAAGCGCAGACGATGAAACGGCGATGATTTATTTTTGCAGGACACGGTATCGGTACACCGGCCGGGCTTTTACGCGCAACGCTTTCAAGACTTCATGGCCAAGACAGTATTCAAGAAGATACCGTCACGTAAGTACCATCCTAATCAGCCTCTTCTAACAAACCTGACCTCAATGTTAACACTGAACAAGGCTCATTCCTAATTTGTAAGCGGTCTCCTTTCGATCAGATTTGAAATCGCGCGGCGTATCGTATCGTTTCGATCCGATTGATTTCCGGCCGACCCGTTTTCTTTCACACCTTTTTGTGGTCTATTAGCAAGAAAACCGCCATACGACATGTTCTTTCGGCTTGTCTCACGTTCGAAGCATAAAGTACAAGTGAAATTCTAGGCTTTAAGTAGAGTGTAGTAGAACTATATAAATATATATCTATATATATATATATATAGATATCTACACGAACACACAAAAACAAACAAACAAACACACACACACACACACACATGCAAACAAACAAACACATCCCAAGTATTTTTATCAGCTGATCCAGCACGACTCTGTTTCTGTTCGGAGTAACGGCATCGATTACTGTGATTTCGATTAATTGACACGATGCGAAAAACTGTTGTCGCGTGTTTTAGCGTCCATTATCGAGTGAGAATTACGAACGAACGAAAATAACAAACGAACAAAAGATATAACAGAGATATTATAACGACGTGTAGGAGACACGGAGGGGGTGGGGAAGGGAGGAGGGGGTTGCGCAGGTGTAAAGGCTCAAAGAAAGGAAAAAAAAAGAAAGAAAAGGAAGCGGTGTACTTAACTTATCTACGTTATCCCGCCGTTTACGATTAAGTAGCAACCGTACATTGTCTCTTGTTACTTAAGATTCCAGTTTGTATAGAGCAGTAAGCCATAAGCTAGAGTTACGTATACACATATATATACATATATATTTTTTAGCTTCTTTATTATATACGAATCGCCATCACCGAACGTTCAAATTCCGTTACGATTCGGACGATCACGCTTTTACGAGCAATTACGTTCGCGTACGCAGCATAATAAGTCGTTCGCCAAGCATATCTTTGTCGTCGCGTCCCGGCATCTCGTTGCGCGACGATCGACGATCGAGCCAACCGGTCGAGAGAATTAACGATTGACTTTCATTTGGTTTCTTTCTTTTCCACTTCGTCGTCGAGCGTGTTCGGCAATCGTGTTCGCTCTCGTTTTTCGTTCGAGGTCCTTTATTATCTTTAAGACGATCGAAGCGAGAACGAGCGAGTCTGTTTCTTGTTCTGTTATTTTTTTCTTCTTTTTTTTATTTTTTTAATTACTTTAATATCCTCCCACGATCACACATCAATCACCGCCATCATCTTCACCGGTCATCTTCATCATCGTCACCACGAGAACAAATTTAACCGTCCAAGAGAGAGAGAGAGAGATTCTAATAAACGTAATAGTGACTTAAGGTAACGAAAGAACAAAAGAGAAACGATAAATGACTGCAGAGAATGCGACGAATCCCGTGCGGATATCCGAAAACCGAATCGATCGATGCAGAATCAACAAGTGCACGGAATCATCGAGATCGTTGGACTGCGGACTTTGCGCGTTCCAATATTCTGGTCGGTGTTGTTCGAAGGAAGTTTCAAAGAATTTTACTGTTTTATCGTATAGAAATTATCGTAGAAATTTGCAACGCGAGGGGCTCGCGCTTCTCGCAGCAGAAAACATGTTAACCCTTAACGGTCAAATGCCGCAATACACGCAGCAGATATCAATAAAACCGTAAAATCTGGCAGGAAACATTGGAAGAATAGGCACGATTGTTTCGATGAAAATATATCAACGAAGTTTTATTTTTAAAAAACGAATATCCCTTCTCTATATTTGATACAAAAATTTTCAGTAAAAAATTTCTCATCGTCTGAGAAACAGTCTAGACTTGGCAGTGTGTAAACTGGAAATATAATAAATAGTTTTGGTCCCCTAAGGGTTAATTTCGCGCGTGGATCCGCAGTCCAATCGAGCCCGTCCTTGTTATCATCGTTTCGGATACCTGCATTCCCCTACGATTAACGCTGTCTGATTCAATCATCATCCTGGGTTCCATTGATTTGCGTGAAATTGGTCGCCTCTGGGTTTTACTTTTCATCGGTGGCGCACTAATCGCTAACACGATAACTACACATGGTTTCTTCGACGTTCAGGTGTCTCACGACGTTGTTCCCCTAACCGTTTGCTTTCCATGTTTGTTTGTTTCTCGTTTTCTCTGTATAATTTCGTCACGTTCGATTCCGTTTGATTTCTCGCCACCACATCACGTTCACCGTCACGTTCCGTAGCCAGATACTGTCTTCGAACCCGGTTCCATAACGAAAAGAAAAAAAATACGAAAGAAAAGAAAAAGAGATAATTAATTGACGAGCACAAAAATGACCAGTCCACTGGTGTCCACACGCATAGCTGAGTATTTTATGCATCGAAGCCGGTGTCGTTGATCACATTCCTTTTTTTGTTTCTGCGACCGACGACCGTGTGCAAGAATCGCGCGAGCATAATCGCGGTCGACGATTAGGTGTATAAGGGTTCTCCCGTGTGTGAAGCGCGCCAATGCGAAGACAATTTTCATTCGTTGCCGTCCCCACTTACGAAAAAGCTCAAAACAGTCGGGACATCGGAACCGATATACATATATATATATACACACACACATACATATATATACTATATACGTATAGTTGCGTTACAGTCGTCGGCTACGAGAGACTATCGAAATGTTACGATTAATTAGAAATCTCGGTTATGGTTACCGTTTCTCGAAGACTGCGCGAGACGTCGGCAAATTTGATCTCGAGGTCGAGGGTTTAGAGGAAAGTAGCCGAACATCGGTGAAAGAACATCGAACGAGACTCTTCCTTTCGATCTTGAACGTCGAACAGGATCGTATATAATCGTGCCAAAAGTGACAAGTGACGTGTTAGATATAATATCTTAATAAAAAAAGAAAAAAACATAAAAGAAATCGTTCTAGTCTTTGTGATGCTTGCGACGCTATGAAGTCGCATTTAAGGAGAACATTCGATTAAACGATGATTAGCTGCTGCGACAAAAATGCATAGCCAAATGTGAAAGACTGCGCAAGTGAAAAACGTTCTCGAATCGAGGCGGAACAAAATGCTTTTATCGCGACAATGCGACATCGATTCGCTGTTCCGTGTTTGCCGCTTTCCTTTACGCTTCGAGCCAAGTCTGTCGAAGAATCGGAATCGATGATGTTGTAGTGAAAAAAAAGAACATAGACTTCTGACGCATTTATTAAGATCTCTAGATCGGACATTGCTAGACGGCGTGTATACGTTACTTTTATCCTTCCGGACAAGATTTCCTTCTTGCAAGATTTTATTCTCTGCAGCAACGAGAACGGTGACGTTGCATCGAATGTTATGGAACTTCGTGGCTCAAGCATTTCTTCGAAAATACGAACGAATAATGGTCGGACGTAGCAGGAGGTCCCAGTTGAAATAAGACAGTAAACGGTAACCGTGAATCGAGCGGGTACAGTAATGTCTCTCTAACTGACGCTCGGATTGTCCACGACACTGGACAATTTGGGGAGAAGGAGATACGATTATTCGAGCCTTACAAATAACCTTGACGTAGCCTTGCGGCTCGTTTTTATAATTGTTGACAATTCGTAGCTATAAAAACGAACCGCGAGACTCGAATAATTGTATCTCCTTCTCCCCAAATTGTCCAGTTGACGCTCGGATTGTCCACGAAAATGGACAATTTGGGAAGAGCAGATAAGATTAGTCGAGCCGCAAGGCTTATATAAGGTTTTTATAATTGTTGACAATTCGTAACTATAAAAACGAACCGCGAGACTCGAATAATCGTATCTCCTTCTCCCCAAATTGTCCAGTTGACGCTCGGATTGTCCACGAAAATGGACAATTTGGGAAGAGCAGATAAGATTAGTCGAGCCGCAAGGCTTATATAAGGTTTTTATAATTGTTGACAATTCGTAGCTATAAAAACGAGCCGCAAGGCTCGAATAATCGTATCTGCTCTTCCCAAATTGGCTATTTTGTGTGCTCGGACAATCCGAGCGTCAATTAGAGAGACATTACTGTATATAGTTCGTCTGCATATCGAGTGATTCCGTGATCGAAGTTCCTTGTTGATATAACCGCGTGCCAAAGGTTTTGTAAGACTATCGCGAGCCTCGCGTTCCTCGTAGTGTACAGGGTAGACATGCCACGGATCGCACAAAATTCGAGAATACTCGCGCCGCGGAGAAACATCCTCGACGATTGCCATAATTAGACTGCGGATTTTTGGGCAAAATAAAAATTGCCTGCGCTAATTGCAAGACACAGAAGCTGCACAGACGTTCCATTCGTTCTTTAATTATTTTACCGGCTTGGAAATAATGCAACTGTGTTTAAATTCTTTAAATGTTTTCACCGTTTTCCATTTGATCGGCTCATTTTTGTCGGAAATGCGTAAAATCCGCAGTCTAGCCATAATCGGCGCATTTGTTCTCTCTTGATTTTTATCTCTATTTTTTTTTATCCTTTATTTTACGTGGAACGATTTTGTGCGATTTACAAATTCGACGTAGTCCTCGAGTTGTGTACACAGTTGTCGAGTATATTTTTCGGCGAGGAAGCTGCTAGTTCCGGTGTGCCAGTGAGAGAGAGTCGAAGAAAGCGTGTGCTGTGAGAGCAAGAGAGAGAGCGAGTGAGAGAGAGAGAGGAGAGAGACACGGTAGAAGTAGATGAATTTCGTTTTTATTGTGAAAATATTCAGCTATCGGCTCGACGTGGACACCAATGTACATATTTATATATTTTGCAATAAACATTTTCGCTGTTTACCAACTTCATTTCATTTACAAAGCCTACCCGAACGATTTACTTTGTTTCTGTTTCTTCTCTCCACTTGACTCTTTTACGCTATCCTCCGCCACCGATGTTGTATTACGGCTACGTTGACATTTGCTTGTCGCAGCAATTCTAATTAACGGCTAATCGTCGACCACGCTAATCTGCCATCCTCGGTTAAAATGTCTTATCTACTAATTTGCCACTTTTCAGGATGTTCGAACAAATATTTCGAGCATCGCCTGCCTTCTAACTTTTAAGCGAAGCTACAATATTCTCGACACTTCGTAGAGCTCCGAATTAATCAATTCCACTTATTTGTTTTCGCTCGTTTCAAAATGATTTCGTTCATTTAATGCTTCATTTGTTGGATCGTCAGAAATGTTGGGACAGTTCAACGAAGGAGAGCAGTACAGTAATGACTCTCTAATTGACGCTCAAATTATCCACAAGAACGAAAGATTTTGGAAGAGGAGGTACGATTATTCGTGTCTTATGGCTCGTTTTTTATGGTTATCGATTGTCAACAACTATAAAAACGAGCTGCGAGACTCGAATAATCGTATCTCCTCTTCCCAAATTGTCCACTTTTGTGCATAATCTGAGCGTCAATTAGGGAGACATTACTGTACTGCAACCGCATCTTTTCATCCAAACATTTCTGACTTTTCCAACTTCTCACTGGGAAAACTAACCGACTAAAATGGAATACGAAACCTACCGACCGTCCAAGGTCACTGTCCCCACTGCCATTTGCAGCTCCCACTTTCTAGGCAGTGGGAGGAGCATGATCGAAAGTGGGGACCGATGTCTCGAACGAAGCACAGTAGAATGCCTAACACGAATTGGAACAATTGCAACAGAATTTCTGCTGCAGGCCTATTATACTACTTTCAAAATACTACTCGATCCATCGTAGCATCTCTTCATCCCTCGATCCGTAGTCGTAGGTTCATCTGAACTTGATTTTCTGCATTACCGTCGCGTCGCCCACTTTGTGTACTGTATCTCGATAGCGTATCATGCGACATGTGTTTGTTGTTTGTGTTTTAACGTACGTTTTCGGTTCCACCGGGAAGATTGCGATGTCTCACTCACTGTGAAACCGGTCCCGATCGATCGGATCGGAAACCACTCCCAAAATCCTCTTCCGTTCCTGTCTAGCATTTCTTCGCTTCTGTCGCCTACACTGACTCGCCGAAGTATTTAACCAGTTAGCTGTGGCGCCTCCTTTTTAGAACGCGTACCTATATGTGTCGCGAGAACTAAGCGATGACGAGTATACTCGTCGAACACAGAATAAGTGTCGCTGTTAAAATATTGGATCGAAAACACGGTTTTATTTTATAAAATTAACCATTTTATTATTAATATTTACTCATTCACTTAACATTAACACATACTACATACATAATAAACGAAAGACGCAAAATCAAATACTTGTAAAAGTTAAAGAAAAGGAAGCAAGGAACGATATATGTTAGCACTTTGCACGTCGAACGTCAATATCGTGATTCTTTTCTAATCTTATTTTTCTAACAATGTAAACACCTTCGTGCAGGATTTGCCTGAAAATATTCTAAACGTCTTGAAATTTGAGAATATGTTTTTGTTTTCACTAAAATTACAATTTAAATAGCCAATGGTCGCTACTTTTTACGCATGACGAGTATACTCGTCATGACACAAAATACTGTCACTTCTTCATGACGAGTATACTCGTCAAACACAGCTAACTGGTTAAACAGCTGGCATGGAACGATTCTTCGAATAGAACGTGTGTGCCAAAACTGTTTAAAATTCGAAAAATCGCACACCGTCCAGCAAACCTTCTCTTTTGCATTTCTATAGCCAGTTAAACTATATATTACAATATGTAGTTCATATATATATTAACAATTTATAATTGCTATAAATTGTAATTAAAAAATCGAGAGATCGGGATCGATTCTGATTGCAAAAAACGATCGCCACGCATTGCGTTCGCAGAATTTTTCAACGCCGATCGTTGAAACGCTTCGACGAGTCGGTGCGGATCTCTCGGCCACAACACTTCGAACACTTCGCGCGGCGGAACCTGGATTCGTTCGAGCTGTTCGCGAAACGCAAATCGCCCGAGCCCGCGTCTAAACGCATCGAGTTTTTAATTAAAACGACCGTTTTATTAAATCGTTTCATTAAAACGCCGGTAATCGAATGCAAGTAGAAATCGTTTCGAGACGCGCGGAATTCGAGAACCGAAAAAAAGAACGGAAAACAACAAGACGGAGGGGCTCTAGGGGAAGGGGAACTCTCCGGGAAACAAGTTGGCGAGACTAACGACGTAGCCATTTAAAGACGAAAAATCATTACAGTTTCTGTGATCGAGATCCAGGTCAGTGTTCCGCCGGTCAAGGCTGCGCGGGTAAACACGCTCGAATAATCGAGATTCCGCAAGGACGGGTCCAGCAGGGATCATTCGTGGGGAATTCGCGAGCATCGGACGGAACTGACTCCTTGACGATGACGATAGAATGACAGTTGATCGTCGCTTCGTTTCCTCTATCTTTCTTTCTTACTTTCTTTCTTTCTTATTTTCATTTTTTTTCCTTTTTCTACGCTAGTGTACCAAATTACAAGTCGCTCCGAAAATTATCAGATCGAGGAACCAACATCGATTTTGCATCGAATTAACATCGCAGGATGAAACAACCGTAACCTAACTGGTCGTCAAAAGTTTCTAATTGAATCGAGATAATAGAGTTTCTACTTGGATAAGATGGCAAGACGCTTTCTGTTATTTTTGCTTAACATGTTGGTCGCAGAATTCGGCGACACAATTTTGCACCCTGGCTTGAAAATCGATTTCTGACTCGATTGCGCTTCTTTATGCAAATTTTCCGATGCAGTTGCAAGTGGCAGGAATTGAGTAACTTCGATGAACTTCGGAAACTATGAATTAGTATTAAACGCCAACTTCTCTTCGCGACCGCGATGTTGTTCGTCGCCGAAACTATTCAATGGAAACTTTCTCGCGCAGTTATGTTTACAAGAATAGCGCCCGATCCAGCAGACATTGTGATCCCGATCATTTTTGGAGCGCCTTCTAATTTCGTGCGCCCGTGCATCCGTTTCTCTGTCTCTCTCTCTCTCTCTCTCTCTCTCTCTCTCTCTCTATCTATCTATCTATCCGTCCCCGATCCCGTATGAGTTTTTCTCGAACCCAAAATCCGATGCAAGAACGTGTGGTCCCCGCTTTCCTTAGTTGTTGCTATAACTATGATTCTCGGCAGTCCCTGACGATCTATCGTTTCAAACAACGGTCTATATATAGACGTATATATACGACATCGTATAAGTACCGCTATATAAAACGTTCGAAGCTAAATGTTGATGTTTTTGTGTCCCGTGCACTTCTTTCCGTGTCAACCCCCAATGACCTGATCTGACCTGCTACCGATCGAAAACTCGAAAACTATACCAAAAGTGGACCTGCCTGAGATTAAGGGGAATCATCGCAAATTCCGTAACCTCGTCACCAGCTACATAGGTAACTTTGTCTGTCTGTCTGTCTGTCTGTCTGTCTGTCTGTCTGTCTGTCTGTCTGTCTGTTCGTCCGTCTGTCTGTCTATCTATCTGTCTGTCTCTCCAACTTTCTGTATGATATCGTGTATGTTCGTTTTGTTTCATTTGATTTTGAATCGAACACCCCTTAACTTTGTGCCTCTACAAGTAATTCTAACGAGTTCGTCTCCTTTCTGCTTGTTCGTCACACTTTGGTATTGATTTCTTTGGATCCCGGATCGAATTCGAGCCCCGGATCCCGTTCATTCTGCTTCGATTTTGTTTACCAACTCACCCTTCTCGCGGACCGTCCTCCAGTATGCATCGTCCAGCGATTTTTCACGCTTTCTCTGTCCCGTTTCATTTTTGGCTGGCGTGTCTTTGCTCGATCCGATTTTTCCCCTTTTTGCATTGTCTCTTGGTAAACCGAGGATTATCAGTAGACCGTTTGAGACACCGTTTGACTGTAATAGCCGTTGTGTCGATTGCCGCATGCGAAACTTACGGAATCCTTGTTCGTAGACGTAATTCTAGATGTAAGACCCGTAAGTAGAAAACATTGTAAGTACACGACACGTTTCCTCGGCGAACCGGCCGTGTCCTGCGTTCGAAACGGATTCGATCAGCCTGATTCGATCAGAGCCTGACTCGACGATCCTCTTCGATCGCGCGAGACATCGTCTCGCCGAGACTCGCTTACGGTTTGAAGTCCTGGACTTGTACTCTCTGATTGTCCCCTTGTTCCGCTCTCTCACACCTGCCCGTTTTTCTGCCGGCATTTCCGAAAACTCTGCACCCGCGTTCGCCACGACCGACTGCAAGCTTCTTTCTATTCTATTACCCACGTCGAACTAACTTGCAAGCCTTGATCTGTAGATGTGACATTTGCGCGCGTGTAAGTATGGATTGTACAGGTGCTCCCGAAAGCTGCGGACGTTCCTGCGGACAGCGCGACGAATCGCGCGGCGCATTGTAATCTCCGACGTGTTCTCGATCGCGCGGATCTGTCCGCAGGAACGTGACGGACTGTACCGTTGTAATTAAGACCGATTGACCTCGTGTTTATATACTATTATACTCGCTCGAACTTTTTCTCCACTGCTTTCTGCGTTGCCCGTGGGATCTGCGTGTGCCTGGACAGATATTCTACTCCCGTTTTGTTCACCACTGTCTCACACTTTTTCTCTCTCTTTTTACGCCTCGGACACGTTCACTGTTGATTCAAGGACACGTTCAACCACCCACTCCCGTCGAAACGCACTCGGATCTGGGTCGTCCTCCTCTCGAGGCCCGAGAGGAGCCCGAGCGGCCGCGGTCCTCCGTTCGCGGCCGAAGCTTAAACGTCGATCCCTCGAATTTTTTCGCGAACTCCACTTCGTTGCTGTTTTTTTTTGTCTTGCAACACACCCCTCTGTCACGGCCGCTTTTCAGTCGCGGGGAAAGTCATGCGAGGCGAAACATGCGATCTGAGAAGAGAAGTATGAAGCAGATCGAGCTGGGGACAGAGTCGAAGCTGCGTTTAATCGGACGGAGCAATTAACGCGGTCGGACCGTGCGTTTTATTATTATCTGGTTGAGTCGAGGAACTGTACAGCGATCTGGCCCCACCGAGAAAGTCGACGTATTCGCTGCTGATCGTCCTATTCGAAAAGAGTTCCAGCTGTCCGAACGATCAAGAAACAGCCGATTCTTTTTACTATGTTTCTAGTTTAATTAAAATCGCTTCGGAAGCGTTGTTGGAAAGTTTCGAGGCTCCGAATGATTTACAAACGGCGCTATCAATTAGCGCGTATCCATAATTTCGGCGGTAATCGCGCCGCGATCTTGTTCAATTAATACTAATGGAATACTCGTTCGAACAGCAGGAAAATCAAATTTAACGTGCACCGTCTCGTTTTAGCGGCGATCGCGTCAGCAATGCGGAACATTTTTTTATGAACTCGATTTCAAGCGAGAGAGAGCAGCGGATAGCGTGGGCGTTCGGTGATCACGATCATCGTCTCTCTGACAGCGATCGAATCGGAATCGCCGCGAAAGAAGCGGGATCGAGCTCTGCACACGTTCGTTACATAATCGAATTAGTGTAGCGTTCCGGTCGCGGATCAACGTCTCGTTGCGTGCGTCGACTCTGTCGTTTCGTTTTCCCCCCCTGCGCACGTGTCTGAAGAACACTTTTGCACGGACTGCCGCGGCACCGTCGGGACGCGCCTCGTTCTAGTTAACATCGTTATCCGGATTTTAATCAGACCTGAACATCGCCGGGATATTAGCATTAGCCTCTAGCGCGGCGAGAGAAACCGCTCCCGAGGCTCGGGCGAGCCTCCTCTGTCTGTCGCGATTTCTATCGAACGTCTTCCATGTACGTATCACACGCAATTACCCAGACCCCCATGTGAACGTTTTCTTGCAACTAATCGTTTCAGTTACAGAGGCATGACAGACAGTAGCGTAACCATCTCGAGCGACACACACGTAACGATTGTATTAGCGATTTTAGAGGAGACGACAAGAACACACATAACGTTGCGCCCCGCGGTCGTTGATCGCGGGGTGACACGGGGAGAGAGAGCTTTCGGTGTTGTCGGCTTGATTCATTTAATACCACCATAGATTTCTCTGTCTATCGTCGTCTTAGAATTCGCTCTTCCGAGCGGAGCATCGGACATCCCACCGATTTCAACTACACGGTGTCCGAAAAGTGTCTCGCATCACGGAAATGCGGGGTAGCCGAGATCATTCTAAGTAACTTTTGCCTTTGCGAAAAAGGATAAAGTTACGTAGAAAAGACTCGGTGGTAGGAGCACGTGGCGCTCGATCGATCGAAAACGTTGTGGTTCGCGCCATCGCCTCTCATTGGTCGGTGTTCTTCGTTAATAAATCGCAAACAAAGCCGCAGATTGCATTTTCGCGAAGAAAAAAGTTACTTAGAATGATCTCAGCTACCCCACATTTCCGTATTGCGAGACATTTTTGGGACACCCTGTATATTTGTCAGGCTGATACGTCTGCGCTTACGATAAACGTTGCTGGGATTTCAACCGTACCGTCAGTCAGTTATGAGGAAATTAGGTGCAAAGTCTGCGCATTCCGTTAGTACGGTCGAACGTCGAACAGCCAAGTATAGTAATTTCTCTCGCGTTGTCTCTCGGCTTGGAGACGAAGATGGACGACTCGGGAAGAGAAGAGAAGATTATTCGAGCTCTGCGGCGTGTTTTTATAGTTGCCGATCATCGACGATTACAGCGAATTCTCCACAATTGTCCTTCAGCTTGTAAGCAAAAATGGACAATTTGGGAAAAGGAGATACGATTATTTGCGCCTCGTATTTATAGTTTAACTTAAATTTAGTTAGTTTAATAACTCGAATAATCGTATCTCCTTTTCCCAAATTGCCCATTTTTGTCTACAAGCTGAAAGACAATTGGAGAGAATTTATTATATCTCCTCTTTCCAAGTTGTTCATTTTCGTTTCCAAGCTGAGAGACAATGTGAGAGAAATTATTGTATTTACGGTGTAGCAACAAGCGTAGCTTTCTACCAAATGTTTAACAAACTTTACACACGATTCACACATAATTGATTGCTCATGTACTGCTAAAATTTTAGCCACGCTTATCGTAGGTATTAGATCATGCATCGGCTTACCAAATATTCGTTGAAATCGATGGGAGCTATGTCCGATGCTCCCCTTGCTAGACAAGAGAATAGCTCCAGCCGAGGAGGTCGATCGTAGTTTTCCGATTCCTTTACGTAGAGAGGTAATGTAGACTCTACATGGTAGAGGTATCTTTCGATGAAACGTAGCATCACGGTGGGAAAGTTAGTCATAGTGCGTGGCAGACAGTGCTGTAGCGAGGGGCAGTCTGCGCTGGTGCTTTCGGAGCGTTTGCGGAAATCTTCTAGCTTTAGTATGAAAACGTCTGGAGCACAGAGATCGAGCTCCAGGTTCTTCTAAAAATTTAAATATCCCTTAAAACGATGAATGCTATGCCGTACAAAGACGAACCTAACCCTTTTGATGTTTGCTGGCTGTCTAGAAGAGACTAGCAACCCTCTAGGAAATGTGTAAAACATTCGGAAGACCCTAATCAGTAGACTGCGGATCTTTATGCGATATGAAAATGTTGTGCATCGATTACGATAAGCAGGAAATGCATAGGTATTTGTTCCTGTCCATTTTATTGAGTTTTAAATAATATAAGAAAAATATTGCATTCCTTGTAATAGTGTCATTGTTTCGTATTTCAACTACAACTGCATCAAAATTAGCCGGTCCGATTTACCGAGCTGTCTATCAGATATCCGAGATAAAAGGAAGACTGAAGATCCAAGCCAGCGTCTAATTTTTTAACGCTAAAACTACGAAACCAGTCGAAACGATTGGTTCCTGTTTTCTTTCTTTTATTTATGTTAGTCAATTTTTCTGTCTAAAATATGTTTCTGTTAGACAGTTTTATGTGGACTTCTTCACCGAAGCACATATTATAATAAAAATCGTAGGAAGCTTAAATAAATCCAATCTTGTCATTGTTATAAAACATTCGGAAGGCCCTAATCAGTAGACTCTGGATCTTCATGCGATATGGAAATTTTTTTTGTGCATCGATTACGATAAACAGGAAATGCATAGGTATTTGTCCCTGTCCATTTTATTGAGTTTTAAATAATATAAGAAAAATATTGCATTCCTTGTAATAGTGTCATTGTTTTGTATTTCAACTATACAAATATAGTTATATTATCAAGGTTATAATAAAACCTTGACATAACCAGTCGAAACGACTGATTCCTATTTTTCTCTTTTGTTTGTGTTAGTCATTTTTCTGTCTAAAATGTTTCTGTTAGACACTTTTATGTGGACTTCTTCACCGAAGCACATATTATAATAAAAATCGTAGGAAGCTTAAATAAATCCAATCTTATCATTGTTATAAAACAATATACAAAAATGTCTCTCTAATTGACGCTCGGATTGTCCACAAAAATGGACATTATCGATTGTCAACAACTATAAAAACGAGCTGCAAGGCTCGAGTAATCGTATCTCCTCTTTCCAAATTGTCCATATTTCTGCACAATCTGAGCGTGAATTTAGGGAGACATTGCTGTACGTACATTAGTCACGCTTAGGGCTCGGTGGTTCTATTGTTAGCTGATATTGGGGCAATTCCGCGAATATGCTCGTTACTTTTGCATCGGTGGAATTGGCGTTAAGAAGACAGAGTTCGAGGAAAATTGTTTCCATGAGAATTGTTCGGGGAACGCTCCTGAAAGCTCCTGCGCAAGTCGAGGGAAACGGTGCTCTTAACACGTTCCGTGCCGAGCTTTTTTTACTCGAATCTTCACACTTTGATATTTTACTAAAACTTGATGTATTACGTGCAATTATTAATTCTCGTACACATAACAACGTAACAAAAACTTATCAACGCCCATTCTTGCGGTGGAAATTGATTCTTCGGTTCTAAATTTCTTGTAAACAATTTGTTCAGTTCACTAAGTAAACATGCAAGCGTGTACCATCGATGGTACACGTGGCACGGAACGTGTTAACGAATACGGTGCGAAAATAAGTGTCCCCGTGATGCGACCGCACAGAATACATACTGCGTACGGTGATTACGTACGCAGGCCGCACTGAGAAAACTTTTTCGAAACAAAGTCGAGACGCTTCACGCCCAAGCTAACACTTGCTACGGTACTGACGTCAGCTTTTGTAGCGTTAACTGGTTTGATCTACCCTCGATAGGTGCCGGCCTGCCAGGGAGAGGGATCTGATCGAAACGTGGACTTTTTGTGGACAGCGTACACGAGCTGCTTGTACGCGATCGTAGACGTAGATAACTGTTTACGTGATATCCGAACCTTCGGACTGCATAGTTGACCGGTGCTCGTAGACGTGAATTCTATGGCTGCCAGGAAGCACGCAGCGCGTGACTTTTTTTTCCACTCACGAGATACTAAAAGCTTATAGTTCTAATCGCTAATGCTTGTAGTATTTGATATCAGTAGCGTTTCGAATTGCATAATTTTTATCAGCATTTGTTCCCACGATGTTTCCCCCGATAAATACGTAAACCTTAGGTGCTGCAGTTCAATCGTTGCATTAACAGAATTTTCTTTTAAATTGTCACTCGCGCTGTTCTTTCTTACAGCCGCAGAATTGTGTCTCGAATGAACCGGAAATAGCTTCCGTTGATTGTAAATAGAACTGTAAATAATTCTGCGAGATTCTGTACAGTACAGTAAAGTTAACTGGCCGCAGCTGCAGCCAACGATGTGCGTCCAGCTAACGAGCATCTCGTAAACTTGCATACGAAACGGTTTCAAGGCAGCGACCGTTCAAAAAGTCAACGTTTTAATTGGGTCAGTCTTCTCGCGAGACCTCCAAATAATCTGTCCGATCTCCGCATCGATGTCCTTCTGCCGCTCAACCATGTGTCCGTATTTATAACAGTTGCGATTTGTGTTTCAGCGTTGAAACATTCCCCGTCGAAGAGAAAAAGCATCACCAGGCCGCTCAGGCCTCTGGACGGCGACTTCGATTCCACCGGTAAGTTTGCACACGCGTCTCTCGAACGATCACTTTTTTTACAAACAATCTTTATGCTTCACACGGTCGCCACACGCGTACGGAAGTTTCACCGATTTTCGGAACTCCACGAAACGTTCGTTACGCGATCGCGGACTCAAAGTTGCTGTTGGCTGTACGAACAGAGGAAAGAAGTTTCTCGCGCCACACGTAAATGTTGCTGTCACCGGACCGCGAATTGTTTGATAAATAACAATTTCCTGGATCGATCGTATAGAGCAGGAGTTGAACAAAGATTCGGTTTCCTTTTCCGAAACTTTTACAAATTTATTTCTCTTATAAATACGTAAATTCCATAGTCCAATTTAAAGCGATGAGAAGATTAATTTAAATTGGAGTGTGAGATTTATTGTAGGAGATTTTTTTATGGAAAATTTAATTATAGATTTTACGTAAAATTTAATTATCGATTTTACGTGAAATTTATTTATAATTTAAAATAATGTGAAGATTAATTTTAAATTGGAGTGTGAGATCGATTATAGGAGATTTTTAAGGAAAATTTAATTATAGATTTTACGTGAAATTTATTTATAGATTTTACGTACAATTTAATTATAGATTTTACGTAAAATTTATAATTAAATATTTTACAATTTAATTATAATTTAATTTAAATTTAATTATAAATTTTACGTAAAAGTTAACCATAAGGAATTTTAATACTTTGTGCATTATTACTAGATCAACGGCTTGTTTTCTTAACCCGAACCTTTCCAAAACCAAGCTTACCTACTATGAAAACAGTGAAAATGAATTTCTTTCGCGATCGTACAGACAACAGGAAATTCCGAATACTGGCTGAACGAGAATCGACGATCTTTGAAACAATGTTTTGAACAGCGATCGAACGGAAAGTCGAACTGAAATCGTTCAGAAACGGGATCGAAATGCGTAAACGCGATCGTTCCGGATCGAACGAAAATATACGAGCGTTTCCGTTCCGAAAATCGTGCGGATGATTCGAACGAAAATCTTCCGCGGTTCTATTATTGGCTTTGCGCTGAATTTCACGTGTGTAGCCAGGCACAGCGATCAGCGCAGTAAACTTAGATGCGGCATTCCCACGTTACCCGCTTCCAAAACGTTCACCACGCTCCCGGTCCGTCACGGCGCCAGCAATCCCGTCTGAATCATCCCTTACCGGCGTGCCGTTCCCTCCAGAAGTTACCCTGTCGCTTTTACGAAGATTGCCCGCGCGTGCTTCCACGTGCTAATGACGTACGCCTATCGTGTTACGGGCTGGCAGGTAATTCGCTGTCACGTTCCACCGAATCTGGTTCGAACCGAACAAAAAGTATCGCTCCGAGACACTCTGAAAAGCGAACTCGAGTGCGAACAACGGAATTATGCTGATTGTGCAGAGGGCTGGTTTCATCGACCGAACCGATCAGAGGATCCTGGTTCTTTCCATTAACCCTTTCGGTACGAGCGCCGGATATATCCGGTATCCATCTAGTCGCCTGCGTGGCCGAGCGCCGGATATATCCGGCATCCATCTGATGACCAATATGGACGAGTGCCGAATACATCTGGCATCCATGTAAGCCATATTTCTGTAGGCCCTTTACAGAATGTTTGCAGGAAACATTTAAAGAAAGATTTAGAAACGGATTAAGCACAGTCATTACTTAACGCTTAAGAAAATCTTCGTACAAAAGTGGACCGACCCTGCGTTATGTGCGCATTTTCGGCGCGGCACCCCGTGCAGTGGGAGTGTCACGGCGGACAACGCGCTCGTACCGAAAGGGTTAACG